GCCCATTATTGGTTCGGAGTATTTAGTTTTCGGCCCAGATACTCCTATTCCTGTCCCTGCTTTGGTTTTGGAAGCATCAGTATACCACGTGATGGTATGATCTTTTATATGCTGAGTAAGCGTTTCTTTCTTCCAATCCTTTTCATTATCTTATTCTATGAAATTAATAGTAAAGTCTGTCCAATAATGTGTGTCCAAAAAATGATAGACACAACTGACACTGTCAGGAATTCTCTCGTTTGACGGACAATACAGGGTGAAAAAAATAGTATACTAAACTTGAGCAATGAAAAATTAAACGATCTAGGTAGAAAAGAGAGAAAAATCAAAAAATTTCTTTGATCTAAGTGAAAAACAATCTTTGGATTGTCACGGGATTTCTAACAGGACACTGTCTCCCCAATAAACACCTCAAAAGACCTCCCTAATAAACACCTGATCACTGAGCGACCCATTCCTAACAAATACAGGAGTTAGGCAGAGTATATATATAGGAACTGCGAGAGTATTGAAGGCATGATTACAAAATCCCGCTTAAGATGAGCTGGTCACGTATGTAGAATGCAAGAAAACCGCATACCAAAATCTCTGATTTACGGTGAGCTTGTAGACGGTAAGAGGAGGCCGGGTGGACACCTGAAAAGGTACAAGGACATTTTCCACGAAAACTTCTAGTGGATTAACATGCAGAATGAGTGGGAAGAAGCAGCTCACAATAGAACTCAATGGAGAAGAGTTGTAAACTCAGTTAACAGCGACAAGGCAATGAGATTTTTGAATGTCCGGAGTGGGGTAGGCAGATAACATCACGTATCGGGCTTTTCAGTCACAGAAAAGCTCATGAAAGAAAACGCCTCGCGTGACCATCTTCTGTATGTATGTCGAATACTCGTCAGCGAGTAATGGCTGTATGTATGTCTCAGAAGATTGAAGCTAAGAAACAACGGCGAATGCAGATTATTCTGTGGGGAAAATGGGGAAACACCAGAAAACTTTATCACAGTGTGCGCTTAGACGACAACCATTTTTACCATAAACTTTGGTACGACTGATATCGGAGATGGGGAACTAACCACTGTAAAAGCGGCTCAGATACTGGCTTTTCTTAAAGTCCCGAGACTGTATCATGAGTTATAACTCAAGAAAAAGGGACACAAGACACAATAGATCTGTAAGGTTACAATCTACAATCTACACTCTACCTTGGTCTACGCGGGTACTATTTCTCCACTTCGAACAAGTACTGTTGTCATTTGAGCAACTTCCATCAATACTATCCTTGGAATCCCTGGACGTGTAATGCTCCAAAGTGGTGGTGGCAAGTTTGACTGCCGTGTTCAACTTGTGTCTGGCATTGTCGAACTGAATCAACAGATCTTGCAAGTAGGGAATGTTTGTATCACTTTTTGACGTTCTAAAAACAATTAACAATGATTTAGAACAAGATTGTAAATAACAATATCAAATTGGAGGACATTTAACAAGAAATAAAAGTGACTGAAATATCGTTTTGCTGTTTTTTTTTAAATACCTTGTTAAAAAGAAAAAAAAATCAATATAATAAATTTTATATGTTTACAGAAAACCCACAAATACCCAGATAGATACTTAAATTTCACATCTAATCACAGTATAAGTGTAAAAAAAGGTGTTATAAAAAGTTTATACGATAGTACACATTTCACTAAACAGAGATATAAACCACATAAAAAATACATTAATAAAAAACGACTATCCACCAAATTTTATTGACAAAACATTAAACGAAATACAAACCC